TTTTTTTTTCTTTTTTCTCTTTTTTTTTTTTTTTTAAGTGCATGTTTTCTCACATTTATTTGTTTTCTGAAAATAAATGTAAGTTTGATTATATTCCAGCTGTCTTCCAGGATACATCTATGTCAATTTAATGTCTTTCCTTATAAATCAAACTCACACTTGAAAATGTGACAATAAAATACAGTATAAATATGTTGGGTAATTTAAATAATTTTCATAATATACTTGTGTCATTATTGTGTCACATAATATGGTCTTGTGCTCTTGGGAAGAACATGGGCTAAGGCAGATTAACCTGGGAACTTTAATTATTTTTTTAATTTCCCTTATAATAACAGGGTCAAGTGAGACTTTTATCAGCACATGAATGGAGAGATAAATATGTATATATAAAAAACTGAAATAATTTCAGATGTTTTTAAGTACAGAAGTTCAAGTATCCTCAAAAATTTAGAATTTGTGAATCTGTTAAAAGACTTTATTATCCAGTTACCTAGTTATTCATAAACTATCAGTGCTTGTTATTTCTGTATTTTGACCATGCTGCTTTTCCCTATCCTATACTAAGGGTAACACAGGTATCACCCAAATGAGGGCAGTTACAGACTGCTTTAGAGATTGGAGTCCAGCTGCTTCCTATACACCGTAGCACTATGTGAAAGGACAGGTCAGGATGTTGCACTAAAATAGCCAGTAGCACTTTGTACAATAGAATAAAAGACAAAAGCCAACTATATAATAATACTATTGTTGAGCTTATATTTGCCTGTCCAGTTACTTAAAGATCAAAATAGGATGTTCTCACTTGGAAAAATTAATTGCATAGTGGCATACCTTTGAACTTTGGATAGCAGAGATCTACAAGTTACTTCATAACGTATTATTACTGTTAATAGTAGAACAGCTGTAAAACCCCCGCACTATTATTTATTTATTTATTGCAGCTTATTTTTTATTTTTCATTCTATGCACAAATGTACGATTTTTGCAGTCCTTCCGCATGTTCTCAGACTGCCAGAAGTTCATGCAATTTAAATCAAGGTTCAGGTAAAAATCATTATATTTGCTAAAAATTATCCTCATCTTTTCTCCTTTTTTGTTAGTGGGGTAGCTACTTTTAGTCCTAGGTTACTGCAAGATTTTTTAATATTTTAGCTTAATGACTCTTAGTTTTGGTATCAAATTTTCTAAGAATGCTTTTCACTTGTTTCATTCTACATTAGAAACTTGAAAGAGAGCAAAACACATTGCAGGTTTATTATAATTGAAAATATGGTGTGTTTTGGTTCTCTGTACCATAGGTAGAAAAAACAAAAGGAACATACAAGCATTCAGTCAATTCTAAGGTAGTTTCAGTAACAGCATTGCTAAAGCAAAGACTACTGGTTCGACTCTGGCATGTGAGAAACTATTTTTGGTTTGTTTTAGACCCTCATTGTTACAAATTAATCAACTGCTCTTTAAAGTCTAGAACTGATTAACTTTATAAGTTTTACTGTTCCCATGACTGAACTTAACTTAAAATGTTCAGGTTTACTTTAGTTGCTCACCTGGATCCCATTTCTGTCTGTGCTCCACAAGTATCCTCTTCTTTCTTGTAGACAGATGGCAAGATGTAGTTACTTGAGATTTAAAAGATTTCAGAAGGTTTACATGTGGTATAAGTTTGTAGTTCAGCTCTCACTATAAATCAGTAATTTCAGCCAAACTTACACCTTTTGTGGGTAGAAAGAAAATCTGATTTTTTTTTAACCCTATGGACACTGTGGTGCATAGTACTCACCATGCTGGATACTGTATTTAAATTTTAGTTGAGTTTGACTTCTCAAAGACCTCATAGTACCAGAAAACTGCAAAACATATATTTTAAAATGGGGTGAGTTATTTACTTTTAGAACAATTCTAACAAGTCAAATAAAGGGCAATGATAAGTTGCATATCTGGAACACGATGTTGCAGACAGGACTCTAAGATGATTCTGTAGCTGGTATTAATGCAGGAAACAGAATTCAATTATCGGAATAGCCCTTTGGCCTTGTAAAATGTAACTATCAAGTTTATGCAGGTCTACAGGTGACATTCCTCACTGGCAAAGCAACTTACCGTCTCCTATATGACCCTGCATTGCATGTGGGTTGAAATGTCGGTTTGAGAGGAATCTTACACCCTTGAAATGATGCAGCAGCCTCTAATGCCCAAAAGAAGACGTTATTGGGAAAGTCCATCACAGACCTGTAGAAAAGAGAGATGGGACACAACTACTAAATGCACGATTGCAGAACCCACAGCTAAAATTCATGGTTGTCTCCTGGTATACTCCAAGTTATGCTTAACTTGTAAATATATTATTCAGACATATGCTTGTAAACATATCATTTGCACATGGGCTGCAATAGTCCTGATTTAACAAAACAAAAAGGGAAAGTGAAAAATGCACAGCAGTGCTTTGTGGTTTAACTATAAAGTTTGTATTAAGTTTCTTGACTTTAGAATGAAGATTAATGATTGGTACATAATTTGATCTGTTTCCTCACCCATGGAAGTAAGAACGGTATACAGATACACTGTACTCAAATAATATGTATTATAAGTTGTGTGGAATAGTTGAAGCTATAGCCTTTGCAGAACAGATTGAGATTCACAATGAAAAGGAAAACCAAAATGAAAAAATATTGAGTGAACAGCAGGGCCCATTTGAGGTGATTACAAAGGATGTTTCTTTATTCTGTCTTTTCTTGTGCAACCTGAAAACAGTAGCAGGGGGTTACAAGCAAAGTTCATCACAGAGTTGTCAATCACTGTCATTTAACATTTTGCAATGGAAGATGTCTTTATTCAAGGACAGCTGGGCAAATCAGAGAAACAGATTTGCAGTTAGTAGTCTGTCCAGCCTACACTAAGCAAACAAGGACAGGGCAGACATACTGGCCTCTCGCATAAAAATATAATGGACTCTGCTGACCTCGGTGCCCTCCATTCAGCTTCATTCTCAGTTGTATAAAAGCTTCACTACCCATTCTCAATTTCCTTTAATTACCTACATGATGCAGATAAGAAAATGAACCTCACTTACTTACAGTCAATGATCACAAACAGGAAATTAAGTAGGCAAGTTGTTTAAAATAAGAGGAGTGTTTTGGAGGTAAATAAAACATGTGCTGGGCAAGAATTAGGGAAAACGCGTTTTCAGGAGTACCAGTTGGTCTGGAGTGACTTGGCTGACCCTTCTTCTTTCTGCTACTTTAAACTGCAAAGCAAAACTAAGTAAAAAATCTCCTTGGTAAATATTCTTTAAAATATCTTTGAAGGAGAAGCCAGTTAAATAAAAAGAGTGAAGCAAACATGCAGCCTTCTATAGGGCTTAAAAAGATTGTGACCTTAAGTTCAGAGAATAAATGACCACAGTTTTCACAAGAGATCTAGCAGACATCCAGGATTAAGCAGCAGTTGTCTTTAGTCAGTCTTCACTTCTAATCTGCAGTCGAGATATGAAATAAATTAATGACATTCTGATTTTCTTTCCAAATCTTGAATTGTCTAATACCTTTCCTTTTACATTTATATCACGGTTTAGGTGTAGTTTCATTGTGCCATTAAAGAAAATAGAAAATTTTGTGCTGTCAGTTTTCAAGGGGGTGAAAAACAGCTATATAACTGCTTTTAGGAATTGTCAGGAAGATTCTATTTGTTAGGATGTTAATGAGTGGATATGGTACTTTGCAAGTCAATTAGGTGCTTCTATTAGATGTTCTAAAATTGCCATTTTTCTTTACCTCACTCTGCATCGGTTACTGTTGTGAATATTTCACTAGTTTGGATTTGCAGAAAGTCTGACTAGAGATTGAAGACTAAAATGCATAATATCAAATCTATAGTTTAAGAGGAATACAAAACCCTGAACACTTTAATTTAGTGGTCTCTGCTATGCCCATAGTTCAGAAGACATTGCCCTTCGGGCTACCCAAATGACTTTTTGTTTCATGATGAAAGAAATACACTTTCTTAAATTACAGATGGAAAAGATATCACATATTATAAAACTCTAACTTGCAAGTTTTATACTTTAGAAAGATCATTCTCATTCCAAACAAGAATATGTACGCATACATGCACAAGAGGATTTTGTGGAGGAAAAAGAATTACCAATTAAGTCACAGAACTGACTCTTCAGCCTAAATTATAGTTCTTAGGATACTTCTGTTGAATTTTCTTTCTTTAGAGACAGTGGATTTCCCTAGCAGGAGAATGAACATCTCTGCTCTGGCTCTTAGAATAGTCACACTTGTTCCTCTCAGCCCCAAGGATGTTGCTACTCATAACTGCACTTAGATTACCTCTTGGTGTGCAGCTCCCTTTTGCAACAGTGAGAAAGTTCTTAGTTTTCATTTTGGCATGAATGGTATTAGTCCCACTCTGGAGCACAGAGGATAGTTTTCAGTAGCTACTTACAATTTTGCTCTTTGCTTTGATCGCTGATCATCTGTTGCTTAGACACTGACTGCTCAAAATACTGAAAATATATTTCAAAAGAACTGTAGAGCTATTTCAAACTCACTGTGTTTTGAATGCAAAGAGAAAAGTAGAAATCCTGAAAACTGAAAATGTGAATTATTGACTTCTTTATAGCCAAACTTACAATGGTTTTGTGAGCCATCCAGGGTGGGGTATCTGTTGAAGGTGATCTCAAGTACTGAGTGCATCCAATGAATGTATTTATTTCACTGCTTTTCTTTTCTTGTTCTCTAGTGTTACAATCAGCTATGTGAAAAAAAAAAAAAATCAATACCTACAATTGTGTGAATATTTGGGGATATTTTACTAGCTGTTTTTTCCCACACACGTGATTTTGATAAATGAGTATGCTTTCTAAACATTGAAATGCTGCTATTTTAACAATGAAATCTAACTTTAGTAAATTAAATGCATATACTTTTAATGTCTCAATAAGGAAGAATGACTATTCTGAGGTTAATTACAATGATTAATATTTTTTTTTTAAGAATGCTGAGGAGTACACAGATCTGCCTGTGAGACACAATGAAGATCAGATGAACAGTGAACTGGCAAAACATCTTCCAATTGAAGTCAATCCCCATTCATTTGACAGTTCACACACAAAAACACACCTCCTGCTGCAAGCCCACTTCAGTCATGCCATGCTGCCTTGTCCAGATTATGCAACTGATACAAAGACAGTGCTGGACCAAGCAATTAGAATATGTCAGGTATAGTAATGCATTTCAATATTTATCTCTTGTTGTTTTACTATTCGTTGTCAGTGTGTTGTAGTATTTTGAATATAGAAAAATATGAAGATTTCTTGCAGTCTTGTGGAGAACTGGTACCACACAGTGTGACACCACTCTTTTTAGGGAGGACCTAGATGCCCATAAAGATGCCCACTTTACAGAACTGGAGGTAAACTTCTGGTAAAAATCTGGTACTCTGGTTGGAGGCGTCTGTTGCTATAGGGCTCATCTCTTTCATATGCAACAGCTTTCTATCTGTGTATTGTGGTATGTCACACATAAGTCATTCCTGCATGGGTGTGCTCCCTGCAGATTGTTATGCTGACCCCCAAGAACCTCTCTCCCATGGGTACTTCTACTTTTATAGCAGCCAAAAGCACTGTAGTCACTGACAAGCATAAATAAAACATGTTTCGAAATGTGATTTGGGACAAGGTACTGGGTTTTTCTCTAGCTTGTGAAAAGATGTCTTCTATTTCCCAGTTATCACAGAGTCAAAGAGCATGCTTTTACACACAGATCTTAAATTCAATCTGGAGGCTTGTGACTTGCCATTGTACTGGAGTTGCAACCCCCAGAAACTAAACTGACTATGGAGAGTACTGCTGACAAGTGATCACATGCACAGCTGCATGCCTTAAAAGAATTTTGAAGCAGCAATTTGAGTTTGGAATAGAGGGCTGCGGTATCTGAAAGTGCAGTTACAGTTACAGCAGGAAGGGTGAGCTCTAGTTGACGCAGAGAACAGTCACCCCTCTGATTCTGCTGGAAAGGAATAATATTCTCTTTAGCAAAACTGGACAAGGACTCATTCACAGGGTCCTGAAGATCAGGTAGCCTTTAACAAATTATTCTTTTTATCTTCCTCGGTTTTGTATCTGTAAAAGAGGGACAGTAATTCTTTCTTCCTACAGTTTTTGTTTACTCAAATTTTAATATCTTCAGTGATCAACACATCAGCTATCAGAATGACCTTGTTTGAAGCCTGTTGGCAAATACGGTAACTGCAAACATTGCTGTGTGAAGCCTACCAGTTTGTAAAACCACTCTGTAAGAAAGTATGAAGCAATGCTCTAGACAGACAAAATACCATGGGCAATTCATTGTCCAGTGATATGGGTGGGTCTCAACCTTACACTAGCAAAAAACTGCAAGTTTGTAATACTGATTTTGAACAAAGCAAAACTATAATGAAGAAAAGGAAAGTAAGACGCAAATAACACCACGGATGTTATTGCTACGCAGTCTTAAACTTGGCAACCAGCAGTGCCTGCATGCAAGTCTACTCCAAATATTTCAAATCAATAAAATCGTGGTGCTGAAAGCTTCAATATATGAACAGTTATTATTCATAATACACAGCTATTAACAGAGAACAACATCACTTGCTCAAGTGAGAAAATTCACTGTAGTTTCTAAGAAAACACATACTTAAAGTTCATTTAGACATCTGTGGAATTAGTATTTGGGGGGTTAATTACATATTTGGAAAAGCTAAAGATTCTTTTCAATAATTATTTTGCTCAATATTTATCCTACTATGTTAAGAAATGTATTTCTAATCATTTTACTGCATAATAGGTATTTCAGAACAATAATCACTCAGAAGAAAAAACCCTAAAATATTCAACAGTTCCTTTAAACTGAAGTAGAGTTCAGAAGAACACCATTCCATACTGTGCCTCAGCACTCTGGCCTTACTGCATAATGTTACATATACAGGCATCTTTAAAAAAAAAAAAAAAAAAAAGAAAATTTCCTCTCTTTTTTTTAAAAAAAAGAAAGAACATGCAAGCATTTTTGTATTTTGAAGTTGGTGCATGGTTTACATCTCTTGGGAGAATATTTGTTCCATCTTATTAGTCACGCTTTCCAAACAGAGGTTAAAGTTCCCAGAATCTAAGCAATAGACAGGGTTACACTTTCAGTACTGGTTGTTACCTTTTTCCTTAGCACTGACCTGCTGATGAACCCTGGGTCAACAGAGGTGGAAAAAAAAATATGTTAGTTGTGAGAAAAGGAACTGAACCATGGAAGGATCCATTGATAAACATATTCAGTGGATGATGTTCTCTCTGTGTGTGAACACACGCTCGCACACCACCAAACGTAAAATTCAGCAGTGAGACAGGAACTGGTTTTTGAGTTATGTTGGACTTTTGTTTATTTACTTACAAAGCACTTTAGCTGTAAATGTTGTATAGCTAACCTTCAAATTGTGACCTGAACATAAACTGTTATTTTTGCTGGTGAGCATGTGAATGACAGCCTTTCCATATCAGCACTGCTTTTCTGTTGCCAGAAAGGAAAATCTTTCAAAGAGCTTTTACAAATGGTTGTATCTTGGTACATACAGCAGGCCTCCATCCCAGGTCCCCTGCAGAGCAGATTTTCCATCTCTAGCCACGACACATAAGCAAGCCTCTTACCATCGCAGGCCACTGAACTTCACCACTCTTCTGTGCTGTCTTTCACCTGAGTCAGCCTTCTCTCCCATACTTCCTTTCACATCCCACCCGTTGCGTCCTCCCACCCATTCCTCCAACATCCTCTGGGCCTCTTTCAGTAGTGGCTTTAGGCTGAGTAGTGTTAATGATCCATCAGAAAACGATGTTAACAGCATCAGATAGATAAATGTAGCTGATGGATTTCTGGTAAGATTCCACTCTTCTAATAAGGTAATTATACAACCACTCTTAAATTAATTTTCTTGAGATGACTTAAAAGTTTTGAGTTCATGTTAGAATTCTGTTCATCTATACTCATGATGAAAGACAGAAGTCATAAGCGTTTAGCAGAATTTGAGGAGTTGTGGTACTGGCTCAGTAGAGGAATGTGATCGTTAACATAGAAAATGTAACACAATGTATTTCTTCCAGTTTTCCTGTAATTAGCATTTGTTAGGTATAGATGGAGTTCATTATAGTAAGATAAAATTTTGTATCTGTATACCTAGGATGCACTACAGAATTCTTTCCCTTTTACTGCAGAAATATGGGGCATAGCAATATGTAACCTTCTGGAACGTGAACGCCTGTCTGCGCCCACACCCATCTCTGTAATGAATGGCCACTGAGGCCTTGACTAGACTGAAGGAATGTCCCAGCTCTACATTGAAAAGCTCAAGTCAAAAACTAACTAGTTTGTTATCAGTGACAGGCTCTCATAGATAAAAAAAAACACAGAAGGTTCCCATGGCTTCTTGTGTCGCCTCGGCCAAGTCATTTAGTTTTTATTTGCCTCTCTTGCCTTTAATACAATTACAGTGGACTGCATATTCCCTTCAAGCCTAGCACTGCATTATTTTTACTGAGACGAGGTGGATGTGTCAGTAAGATGGTGCTGAGCTCTGCATTAGCTGCTCAAAATCAAACACTTCTCCACTTCTTGCAGAAGAACATCAAATAATAAAAATTCTAATGAAATTATTTGTCTAATATTTTATAGACTATAATTATTATTGGAAAGAAAATACCCCACCTTTTTTCCTATCTCTGATTTAAGAATATGTGAAACAGACTAAATCTAATCTCTGTTTTACTTCTTTTATCAAGCCTTTTATTTTGTGACTGTGTATTCAGCGATCAGTTCTTCCTCTGCTGTTCTATCGCCTATATTTGCATTAATTGGAATGGATAATTGAGGCAGTAATACTGTCAGTTTCAGATTCAGCAGGGCAGTCTCTTCTCAGAAATAATGTGACAGTGGCTGGCTTTGCATTGGGATTGGCCACAAGCCTCCACTTGTAGTATAATCGTTGATAAAATATTTTAATATTGCCAGGAGTAGATCTGCCATGGAGCTGAGCCATAACCTTTGAGGAGTGTTTACCTATGGATGTGTTAAACGCATCTCAGTAGGGTAGCACTGAGAGAAGATGGACATAAAGTCAGATTCCAAACTGCAGAATAAAGACTAGTTTGCATGAGAAACATGCACATCCCTGAAACAAGGACCTTGTAATGCTGTCACTGATGGCCTGCCTTTCCCCATGGTGGTACTCCTCCAGAGAATCTAATTTTGACAGAAAAGAAAAAACTCTTTGGGTTAAGCACTGCATTTCCTTACATGTACGTTTACATACATAGCACCGCTTCACCTTTTCTGAAATAGTTCAAGTAAATAGGTTATTTCTGCTCATTTAAATTGCAGCTTTTGCTACAGTTCTGCTCAGGAGAATCATCTTTGTGGTATATGTTCAGAGTCACCAAATACTGCACAAACATGCTGCCCAATTCAGCTGTCTTTTAAGAGCTAGGTTACGTACAAAATGCTTAGTCTATGAAACTGCAGGCTGTTCTGGCTGATGGTGGCGGCTGTGTCTACTGCTTCTCACTCAGAAGGTACTTTCTGGCCATATCAGCACAGCTGCAAACAGCAGAGGTGCCCAAGCTGTTGTTCCTGGACTAGAAGAATGAGAATGTCCCTCAGCTCTGGGACCTCCTCAGTTCATAACAGCCACTAGAACTATCCCTTGGATCATTTGTTTTCCTGCCTACGAGGAAATGGAGAAGTTCTTAAAGTGCATTTTGAGCTCCTGGGTTGTCTTTCCTTAGTGCAGGTGTGCCCATCACTGGCCTGTTTGACAGTTGCGTGTGTAAGATTGGTCCAGAATTGCCCAGTGAAAGAGAAAATTGCTTTGTTTAATGGGCACATTGGCAACTATAAATAAATGGGCAGCTTTCCTGAAAGAGGGAAAGAAAATCAAATTAACTTGAGAACACAGAGGATTATTCAGAAACAAGTGAGGAGCAGAGGCCTTATCTCTTTAGCTACTACAGGTATTCTTTGTGTATCCAGCAATATACCAGTGACAGCACCACATCTGCAATCTTACTTAAATACTGGCTGCTTTCGTGGTTGGATGGCTGTTATTCCACATTAAGAGAGTGGAAATAATAGAATGATCAAAGAAATTTGTAGCACATATAGCTGGACAGTAATGCTCATTTATAGATACTAAGCAGCAGTGGATA